CAAGGGAAAACTTTTTTATTCTAATTAAAACAATAAATATTATTTTTTGTGAATTTGGGAAATTTGAGTTGATTTAAAATTGCGGCTGAACTCGGTGAATTTAGCCGAGTTGCCTACATACCCCATTGAGAGATCAAGCCACTTGTAGTTCGAATTTTGGGTTTAAAAATTTTGGATAGTTCCTCTGTGTATGACCTTATGAGGAATTGACGCACTTAAAAATTTGATTTATTTATTTTTATTTTGTCTATTATGAGGATTTTTAGGATCGAATTTGATCTTGAAATTACACATAAATTTTAGGTTGACTACGTATCTAATAAGGAATCAAGTCAATCGTAGTTCTTGAATTTAAATTTAGATTTTGGAGAATTTCCCAATATATGACCATATGAAGAATTCAAAGATGTTTTAAAATTTAATTTGGAATTTTACTTTAGAATTTGGATTTGAAAGTTGTATTTGGATAATTTCTCAGTATATGACCTTGTGGGGAAATTAAAAGGATCATTTTTAAATTTGGTATTAGAGATTTTTTTTTATTTGAATTTGGGATTTGAAAATTGTATTTAATCACCATATGATTTTATGAGACAATTGGCTCATCTTTTTGAACTAAGGGACCATAAAATTGCTCAATTTGTGCACTTTAAATTTTGTGGTATTTAATATTCCTAATTTCTTTAAAATTTATCTTTTATCCCTTATATTTTTTTTTAATTTTAAATTTCATCATATCCAAACCAATTGATTTGATTGTATGATGTATATGCCTTCTTTTTTTGCTAACAATTTAATTTCAAAAGAAATTTGGATTTCCCTCATCCGTTCTACACATTATATATATATATATATGTGTGTGTGTGTGTGCGCGCGCGCGCTTTGTGAAGATATTGAGAAATAGCTGAAGATGACGGTTGCTTGCTCTTTTTTTTTTAATATCTTCATTGTTTGATTATTTCTCGGCGGGTATAATGCAATTTATATGAATATTTTCATATAGATCATATGCACATAATTTCCTATATGTCGATTCTTAAAGTGTAATTCGTATGATTTTTTCATTCGAATTGCACTAAAAAAATGTATATTAACAATTAGACAC